CTTGGGAGGAAAGCAATGACAAACCTAGACAGCATCTTAAAAAGCAGAGACATCACCTTGCTGACAAAGGTCCGCATAGTGAAAGCTATGGTTTTTCCAGTAGCTATGTATGGAAGTCAGAGATGAACCATAAAGAAGGCTGACCGCTGAAGAATTGATGCTTTTGAATTGTGGTGATGGAGGAGATTCTTGAGAGTCCCCTGCATTGCAAAGAGAACAAACCTATCCATTATGAAGGAAATCAATCCTGAGTGCTCACTGGAAGGACAGATCCTGAAGCTGAGGCTCCAATACTTTGGCCATCTCATGAGAAGACTCCCTGGAAAGACCCTGATGTTGGGAAAGTGTGAAGGCAAGAGGAGAAGGGGACAACAGAGGACGAGATGGTTGGACAGTGTCACCGAAGCTACCAACAAGAATATGACCGAACGTCAGGAGGAAGTGGAAGACAGGAGGGCCTGGGGTCCATGGAGTCACGAAGAGTCGGACACCACTTAATGACTAAACAACAACAGCTTGAGGGAAAGCTTTACAGTGGTGCCTCGCTTGACGAGGATAATCCGTTCCAGCCAAATCACTGTAGAACGTAATCCTCATCAAGTGAAAATAAAAACCCCATTGAAATGCATTGAAAATCGGTTCAATGCGTTCCAATGGGCTAAATACCTAATCGTCCAGCGCAGATCCTCCATAGGGCAGCAATTTTCCAATGCCTGTAAAGCGAAAAATGCCTCCTAAAAACAGCGGGGAGCCATTTTGCACAGCAGGTGGCCATTTTGAAACCCGACGATCAGCTGTTTTCAGATCGTTGTAATGCGAAGAATCAGTTCCCAATGCAGGGAACCCGTCGTAAAGCGACTTTTGGCCATTGAAACATCGTTTTACTATCGCAAAATCGTTCGCAAAAACCTCACCATCAAGAGGATTTGTCGTTTAACGAGGTAATAGTTAAGCGAGGCACCCCTGTACTTCTTGAAGCAATCTGGTGGTTACTCTACTTTGTATCAAGCAAAACAGTCTCTGTCTTCTAGAAATACCATTTAGATAGGTCTACTAATTTCACTGGCAGGTAACTCTCAAATTAACTTTTGTTCAAAACAATCTAGTACTTCTTCAAATGCTGGGATCAAGTTGTTACACCATAGAACTCAGATGACAGTTTCCAGAGAATTAAAAGATTTCCATCCCATCCACCCCACCAGGTTCCAGGGATCTCCTCCCAGCACTGTGGAATAGAGTAGAAAATGAAATTAATTTGGAAAATCACCTGATGACATCATCTGAGTTGCTTGGTATAACATGCGCAATAGGATTCCAGCCTATAACATCAGTGGCAGCACCAAAGCAATTTTATACTGCATAGATAGGGGCAGAAAACAAAGTCCACACTGGCAGAAATTGCCATTATTTCCAATAAACAAGGCACATAGGACCATACACTGCATTTTCAAAGTGGCCTCCAGTAAACTCACCTTGTTTAACAGAAGAAATGAGAGAAGTGTTGCTATCCCACTATTGAGTTTGATCTTTAGTGGGTTGGGCAGTAAGGGCAAGGTGTGGTTCCCAAGCTGTTCCCAGGGGTTCAACCCAGAGCTCATCAGTGGCCAGAAGTTAGCAACTCCAGATACAGCTATGATTTGCTTAAAAACTTCTATAGCTGTACACTCCTCTAAAGCAGCCAATCTCAAATTGTTCTTTTTTGCCATGGGCATAAAAATAATATGAAAGAAATACAGGCCAAATCTAGATTGTTTAAGTCACACAATGAACCTTATAAGGTGGTGGGTAAAAAATTGTTTCTAGCCTGTGGTCCCCTTCAAATTTGCCAGGGCCCCCTCAGGAGGCCTTATGGCTCCCATTGAGAATGGCTGCTCTAGAGCAGAGATGGGGAATATGCGCTGTCCAGTGTCACTGGACTCAGTCCCTCACCACTTATTATGCCAGCTAGTTCCCCAATCCTGCGTTAAACCCACATACAGGAAGCAACTACATGTCTGTATCATAGCATTCTTTACCATAATGCCCTAAATCAGTGGTCCCCAACCTTGGGCCTCCTGATGTTCTTGGACTATAGCTCCCAAAAACCTTAACCACCACCTCTGCTGGCCAGAACATCTGGAGGCCCAAGGTTGGGGACCACTGCCCTAAATGGTGTGATCTCATTATATTACTTCTTATCCCTGACCCTAAAATATAATAAATCCTTCTTACTTTCTCTCCCACAGTATGCCCTTGCCCTAGGCTTGAAACACTATGACTCTAAAATCTTTATACTCCACATTTGGAGCACAGCTGGGAACACTGTTTTGTTATAGCTATATAATAAATTATAGACAACATAAAAGCTACTTTTTGGGACTGTAATTCCTAGAATCCTCCAGCCACTTGGCAATGATGGCTGAAGGATTCCAGGAACTACAGTCCACAAAGTGACTTTTCCAGGTTCTTGAAAGAACATACTTCTCTACTCAAAAGTGAGTCCTACTGCATTCACTGGGACCTCTCCCAGCACAGTGTACATACATCTGCAGTCCTGATTTTGAACTGGTATCTTCTGCACTAGCTGGGTAGCTATTTTTTATAGTTTACTAGCAGAGCAGGATTGTAATTTCCACAAATATTAAGAGACGATGCTTATGAAAAGAACAGCGTATGTATATATACACACACATTCTCTCTCACACACTCACATACATACATACATACACACAACTTCTCCTTTACCACTCTTAATGGAAAGATTTAGGATTTTAAAAGGTGAGGCAAGAAAAAGCAGGGTTTAAAATTGTGATCTTGTTTTGAGCACATGGAGAAGCAACAATTTGACCATAGGCAGCATAGTTGAGGACACGTTACAACTGCATTCTATTTAAACTGCCACAATCTCAGCTAATCTAAAAAGTTTTTTTAAAAAAGCGGTTAGGGAAGGTGATGCAACTTCAAGGTTCTTGCAGGTTCTCTAGTAATTCCAGAAGGGAAGCTAGTACTGTAGCTTCTTGTAATAAAAATAATGACTCATATAGCAACTTAATTGACTAGTTATCTTATTATACCATGTGCTTCTCTAGCAATAGCCTCTTTCATCCAATGACCCTTAATGCGTGCAGGCAGAAGCCCCTCTCACAATAAACCAGTTAATCTCTCAAATGTCAATCAGACATTTTTATATGAATCCACCACAAGGCTGTTGCCAGCACCTGTTTGACAGCAGCCATAACTTGCTCTTCATAAACGTCTAGGTTTCTTTTCATCAGCTCTAATGCAGACTGTCGATCCGTGATGGCTGTTGGGTTGGGATTCAGGATGACATGATGTTCATAAACGGCAGCAACATAATGTCCTTCTCTGCAAACATCTGCAGTGAGAACTTGATAGCAAAGAACAAGTATACAGCTACTGCCAAAAGTGAGGGCTGCCATGAATCTAAAATGAAAACAGATGTAGGGGGAACATGATCAGTACAACATATGTATAAAGTGTCTAATGCTCTCATCATATTCACACTGGCAGTTGTTACATACTACACTCAAACTGATTATTACATTCACTAAATAAGTAGGCTTATGTTGCTTCTAATTTCATACACATTTGTTTCATTCCACTAATACATGAGACGAAGGGTTCTCCAGAAATAGACACATTACACTGGAGGTGTGCAGATTTGCAATTTTTGAACTACAGTTGTGCCACTCTTGACGTTAATCCGTTCCAGCAAAATTGCTGTAGAACAAAATCATCGTCAAGCGCAATTTAAAAAGCGCATTGAAATGCATTGAAAACCGTTCCATGCGTTCCAATGGGCGAAATACCTGCTCGTCCAGCGAAGATCCTCCATAGGGTGGCCATTTTCTGCTCCCTGTAGAGCAAAGAATCCGTCGGTAACACAGTGGGGAGCCATTTTGCACAGCGGGCGGCCATTTTGGAAACCCGACGATCAGCTGTTTTGATCGTTATAAAGCAAAAAATCGGTTCCCAAAGCAGGGAACCGATCATTGTAAAGCAGTTTTTTCCTATCTAAACATCGTTTTGTGATCGCAAAAACCTAATCGTTAAGCGTATTCATCGTGGGTAATTGTTAAGCAGGACACCACTGTACAGCTCTCAGGCTTCCTTAAGTAGTAGCTATGCTACCCAGGGAACTCTGGGCATTATAGTCCAAAATCAATAATCTAAACACCAGTATAATATACCTGTATGATGTCATACAAATTGTTTAGTGTACATAATAAACAGAGTTAAGTTGACTAACTACAGGAGAGGACTGATGGACAACAGTGTTTACTGTCTCTTGAGAATGCTATTGAAATAATCTAGTATTATTTTAATTTTGGGCAAATGCCAACAGTGTCTGAAGTACCATAATAGTAAACAGGAGCATTAGCTTGTATAGTCCTCAGCATTCTGAAAATAGTCTGCCTCCTGTGTGAACATCCTCTTCCAGGAATTTCCTTGGTTGCCCCCACTTCCTACAGGAAGCTCTGCAGTACAATTCTGCATTTCTATATATCAGACTACTGTTTTACAGAATGATGGTGCACTCTGTTTCCAAGATTTGCAGAAAGCTTTCTGGAATTATAATTCTTACAGCAACTAAAAAAAAAGTTTCTGTGCACAAGCAAAGCTTATTAAAAGATGTGTGCAGTTAGTTTGCTTGATGACAGGCCATGCTACTTCTTGTATTTTTAGTGACTGAAAAATAACTAGCTAACACAATGACAAGATCCAGTGAGCTATTTTCAGCACTGCAGCATCTCATAGCTTGTATATGTAGAGCACTCAATATGGGGCCCAGCACAGAAGGAGGATAGGAAGACCTCTGCAGAAATAGTTCTGTTGTTTGCTTCAAGTCCAAAGCACAGTGCAAATAGTTCCTATCACTGTGGACTTTGAGCTACTGTTTCAACTGGCTCTAGTAAATCACTAATTGCTTAAGAAATTGTTTAGACAAAAAATCCAGATGCACTGGGCCAAAGATACTGGGGGAAAATGTAATGCAACCTTAATTATGCACACCATTACCAGTGGTGCCTCGCTAGACGATAATCTGTTCCACTAAAACCGCTGTTTAGCGAAATCATTGTCTAGCGAAAAGCATTTCTCCATTGGACTGCATTGAAACCTGTTTAATGCGTTCCAATGGGGAAGAATCGTCGCTGTCTAGCGAAGATCGGCCATAGGAAAGCCGCTTTGCGAACCGCCAATCAGCTGTTTAAATCGATGTCTTGAGAAGCTTAGGTCCCAAAAACACCTGTTTGTGAGCACAGAGGGAGCTGTCAAAATCGTTGTCTAGCAAAAATCAGTTTGCGAAGCAGGGACCAAACATTGTCCAGCGAAATTCCCCCATAGGAATCACTGTTTTGCGAATCGCTATAGCGATCGCAAAAAGCCAATGTCTAGCGAAAAAACTGTCATGCGGGGTAACTGTCTGGCGAGGCACCACTATATGTATGTGAATACAGGCTGGGGGGGGCAGGATAGGAATTATAGCACCTTATTGGCACTGCCATCTGGATCTTGCTGTTCTTGTATCTTGGGCAGATTTCCATTTTAAAACCAAAGGCCTATAAAATATGTCAGTATGTGATACGTGAATCCACCTACTGGAGAAACAGCTTAGCAAAGTCCTTTTGACCAGGAAAAGCAGGGTGTAGCAAGTGAACTACATTGGCAAAACTTTTTTTTTTTTTTGGCAGCAAGCACCATCCCAATTCCATCACACCTATGTTACTTTATTTGGCTATATTCTGAATCCACATCCATGTGCTTGACCCTGGTTTCCAACTTAAAACACTTTGCACAGGTGTTTTGTACAGCTTTTGTCCTCTTGGGTTGATTGGTGCCCAAGGTATAGTTTCATTGTTGTTGGAATTTTAGTTGGCTGTTCTGCTTACTATCTTGAGTTTTATACCGTAAACTCCTCCAGACATTCCACCACTTCAGCCTTAGGTAAGAGATAGCTTTGTCTGCAGGGTCCCAGCCTGGTCAGCCAGACAAAAGAGAAAATGTTGCTAAAAAGAATAGATAAGGATAAAAGAAACGCTTGGAACTCACAAACACTTGCTCGCCGCACCCAGCCAAAACCTTATTGCTAGCAGCTTTGGTTTCTTTTTAAAGTTGTATATAAACCTTAAAAATGACATATGAGCACTTACCTACATATACAATCCTACAGGAAAAAGCCTACATCTTAAAGCACTGCTGTTACTATGTCACCATAAGCTTTTGGCTTGTTAGTATATGCAAAACAATTCACACAAATGGAAATAAAAATGGAAATAAAATCAGAAACAGTATTGGTTGCCCTGTATGATGACCTACTGAGGGAGGCTGACAAGGGTAAAACATCTCTGTTGGTCCTCCTTGATATCTCGGTGGCCTTTGATACCGTCGACCATGCTATTCTCCTGAGGAGGCTCTCTGAGTTAGGAATTGGTGGCCTGCCGTTTGCCTGGCTCCGATCCTTCCTCAGGGACTGTCCTCAGAGAGTACAGCTTGGGGAGAGGGTATCAGCCCCGTGGAGCCTCAATTGTGGAGTTCCGCAGGGTTTGATCATCTCCCCAGTGATGTCTAATATCTACATGAGGCCACCGGGCGGGGTCATCAGGGGGTGTGGGGCATCGTGCCATCAGTACGCTGATGACACCCAGCTCTACATCTCCTTTTCACCAACTGCAGTGGATGCCATTCTCTCCCTTCAGCACTGGAGTCTTTACTGCAGTGGATGCAGGAAAATGGGCTGAGGCTGAACCCGGACAAGACAGAGGTCCTGAGGTTGGGTGGCCCCACCATCATCAGTCTGGGAAGCTCTCTCTCATTTGGGTGTGTGTGTGTGTGTGTGGGTTTGGGAAGCTCTCTCTCATTTGGGGGTGTGTGTGTGTGACTCTTACCACAGAGTGAGGTTTGCAGCTTGGGGATCCATCTGGACCCGGGGCTCACCATGGAAACTCAGGTGGTGTCAGTGGTCCGCACCACCTTTTTTCATCTTTGGCGGATAGCCCAGCTGCGTCCCTATCTTGATGTTGGGGCGCTCACTACCTTGGTACATGCGCTTGTAATCTTGAGTTCAGACCACTGTAATGCACTCTATATGGGGCTACCTTTGAGGTTGATGCGGAAACTCCAAGTGGTGCAGAATGCGGTGGCCAGACTCCTTAGTGGGGTGAGAAAATATCATATCTCTGCCACTCTGGCCGCATTGCATTGGCTGCCCATTCGGTTCCGTGTTGACTTCAAAGTTTTAATGCTCACGTATAAAGCCCTAAATGGTTTAGGGCCTCGATACTTGGCGGAATGCCTACTCCCACCAAAATCTACCTGTATCACCTGATCTAGTCAGGAGGTGAGGCTGAGGAGCCGGACGCCGAGAGAGGCCAGGAGGGAAAAAAAACAAGAAACCGGGCCTTCTCGGCAGTAGCTCCTCGCCTCTGGAATAATCTTCCTCTGGAGATCCGTGTGGCCCTTTCGCTGGGCATCTTTAAAAACCAATTGAAAACTTAGGTGTTTAGACAGGCCTTCCCCTCAGCTATTATTTGATTTATTTTTCCCTATTTCTTTCCATCTTGAATAACTATTATTGATGTTTAAATGTTGTTATATTTTATATTATTATATGTGTTGGAAGCTGCCCAGAGTAGTCAGTTGACTAGATGGGTGGGGTATAGACAAACAAACAAACAGACAAACAAACAAACAAACAAACTGTTTGAAACACTGAATGTATTCCAGCAACATAATCTTGCTATTTCAGGATGGCTGGTTTAATATCCAGCACCATCATTTCTGAAGAAAATTTATGTGACAGATTCTGTAAAAGATGTCCAGGGTTCTGGGCAGAAGTCTGCTGACACCAACTTTCTCTGACAGGCCACAAATCAGACATGGAAGACGTGGAACAGTGTGCACTATCCAGCATTACCTCTTGTGATTTGTGACAGGCCACAAATCAGAGATGGAAGACGTGGAACAGTGTGCACTATCCAGCATTACCTCTTGTGAAAACAGTAAGAGATGTTCTCAAACTATTAAACATTTCTCTGTGCAAACCAGAGACTGACTGGGAGCTAGGTGCTTATTGAACATGACATGTAAAACATGTCCCTTAATTCTTCTATACTGTACTGAGAACAGGTGCATCTTTTGGTTTGGGGAACAAAGAAAGAAGTTGTGCTTACTAGAGAAAATAGCAAGACTGCCTCCATTGGGGCTAATATTATTTTTCTTTCTTAAAGTTCATTGACCTCACAATGGAAAACTTAAGAAGTGTTAAAGAAGTGCAACCCCCCCAAAAAAAAATTCAACCTTGATCTATAGAAATGTGAGCATACCTCTGCTCATGCTGTGAGGGTTCCCTATTCACTTGGAACTTCCTCTGCCACTCCTGAAAGGCCACTCTTAATTCCGGAAATTGTCTGGGCTGGAATCTGGTACAGGAAATGGCAGCAAGAGGAGAAAGGCTGGCAAATATTGCAAGAGGCACTTACACAAGTGAACTGAGGTGTTTCTTTTTCACTGAAAGATCCCTCTAGAGCAGTGGTGTCGAACTGTGGCCCTCCAGATGTTCTTGGCCTTCAACTCCCAGAAATCCTGGGCAGCAGNCAAGAACATCTGGAGGGCCACAGTTCGACACCACTGCTCTAGAGCAGCAGTTCCGAACCTTGGGTGACCCAGGTGTTCTTGAACTGCAGCTCCCAGAAACCCCACCACAGCTAGTGGTGAAGACTTCTGAGAATGTTAGTCCAAAAACATATGGGGTACTCAAGGTTGGGAATCACTGTTCTAGAACCAAGCCATTTAATAAACCATGCAGATAAGCCTAAGTAGTACGTACTACAGAGGATCAGAAGATCCACCTGTGGTCCTGATCCAGTCTGCAAACAGCCAAGTCCCAGCTCACAGAAAGGCTAGAGGATGCCCCTCTATTCCCTTTTCCCAAAAGGGTGGTGGAAATCCTGCTGTTCCCTCTGATCTCTTGTATAAAATGCATGCTTGCTTTTGGAATTGTATGCAAAAGCATGCTAGAAGAGGAGTGGTAAAAGTATGACACACACACCCCCGCTTGTTGCTGGGCTGTGACTCCTATCATTCTATTCTATTAGCTATGCTGGCTAGTACTGATAGGAATTGTAGTGTTGAGGTGCTTACAGAACAGCACTTTGCTCACTCCTGTACTAGAATGTCTGTAGAACATTCATATCTTCACTATCATTCCATGGGTTATTTTGTATTAGAAAAGTTTTTGTTTTTTCTACACATCTGAATATAAAATAAGATTTTTTTAAAACAATTACCAGAGTTTTAGGACATTAAGAAAATATTTATTTCATACATTAATTGCTATTAAATGCCCAGCACTAAGAACATGATTTGTCTCTGTTTTTCCATATATGAAGTAAGGTTGGTTTTCATGTTAGGTTATACAGATCTTTAAAAGGTTGGTTTTTGTCTACAAGAGAGTTGGACAGCTGAGATGGCCAGTTTTCTTTGAAAGCCAACAGCCCACTGCTGCATATAGGAAATGTAAGCTGGAAGCACTTGGCACAATCCATTCAGTGATGTCACAAAGCCTTCTGTTAATGGAGTTACCACAAACACTGTGAGCCAGAATGAACATTAAGCAACTGCTTTAATGATAAATAGGATTACAGTGTTTAGGACAAGGATAGAGCCACAGGAAAGTCAAAGGGAAAAGTGTTGTATTTAAGAGATGGGAAAGCTGCCCAGAGTTACATTCATCACAAAAAGTATGTTTGGCATTTGAATGTACTAAAACCCAAACTATGGAGGCAATCCTATACAATATATTATTTTTCCTAAGAATAACCATTAAACTCAAGAGGGCTAACTTCTGAGCAGAACTTGGAAACAATTAGCTACTAGTTACAAATTACAAATAAGTAAAAATAAAGTAATAATTTTTTTTCTACTACTTAAATATATATTATCCGTTATGACTTCACATAAGATGACTTCACTTCTTCTGCAACAACACTGTAATGTTCAACTTTTTTTATTGCATGGGTGTAGCCTCACTAAACGGTGGAGAATATATGCTTCCACTGCAGGCTCATGCCTCTGAATCAAAAACACTAAACAATCATGGCAAAAAGATGTGCATCTGGTTATTTTTATTCAGTAAACCGTTATCCAATAATGTCTGAACGGTTGTAAAGTAATGAGTAACTGCCTTTAAACCACAATGAAGGTTTAGGATTTTATCTAAGCATTCCTATATGGTTCCTTTGCAAAAAAAAAAAAAAAGTTTTACACAAGCAATTTAACTACTTTTATACTTAGTATAGAAAAGCCACATACGGCCTGACCATATCATGGACTGGATCCAGTGTTAAGTTAATCATTCTTCACTCACAATCTACTGGACAAATTAGCCATGATGAACTTAAGACCTGACGATTTTGCTAGAACTGAAGTATGACTAGGCTATACTCCATTCCAAGCCACAAAAGGGGCAGTCATGAGAGTCATAACCTAACAGATGGGGCATAAAGCCAAGGCAAAACAGAGTCAGTCACTAAAATAGTTCAGAGATTGTGGTTTTTTATTTATTTATGTATTTATTTTATTCGATTTTTACCCCGCCCCTCTAGACAACGTTTGTGTTGTTGTTTTTTTAAAATTTAAATATAACCATATTTAGGAATAATTACACAAATATATCCGCCCTTGCGTGGGGATTTTCACCTTAGCCATTTCTCATAGCAAATCTGCTGCGTTAGCATATATGCTTTGTTGAACCTGCTGCCTCAAGGTAAGCAAATCGAGAGGGAACATTTTACTCTTATCAGAGTCTAAGAATGTAACAGCCTCTATAAGCTCATCTGTCGACAAGTGCTAATAATTTTTTTTTTTGCTTTTAACGGCCTCGTTTTTCAGAAACCGCTCAGCGATTATTTAACTACACACGCCGCAGCAGAATTTCAGAAAAGCCAAACCAACCTCGATGTCGTGTCGCCATGCTACACCACAAAGGCACCCCCTATTTTTTAATACTAATGTGCATCTAGAGATAATAATATTCACAGGGTAACAATTCATATTAATTAGACTAAGCGATACAGTATTGATTTCAATGGGGAGAGTCTTCAATAAGACTAAATCTGGATGCAGCCCATAGCTTTATCATTCTGCATCACCCAAACCACTGTGTCTGATTTCTCCTATTCGTATTATCACAGTCACTCGATCTCTATATTACCATTATTACTGTCTCTTGCATCGGGCTACCTTAGCACGACCAATCAATCAACCCACCACCAACCAGAGATACCTTTTCCGCTCGCCCCTTCCGGCCTCGGCCAGAAAGAACGCTTCTTTTAGCTACGCCCACTTAAGTGAACGCCATTTTCCCCACTGACTACGCCCACCTTCCTTCTTACTGAACGGAGCATGTGTCCATCAGAACGCAGACTGTTTCTCATTGGTCCAGGGCCACGCACCTCAGCATAAGGTAATTGGCTGCTCCGGGTCCTGGCGCTCTTAGGAGAACAGAGGGGAAGCGATGGCTGCGCCGGGTTCGCCACAGGAAGAGGACGAATGTGTCAGTGGCGCCCAACTCATCGCGGAGGCCCTAAAGGCGCAAGTAAGGACGTTTGCCTCTGACTCTCTGCAACTCAGTGACAATCGGAAATGTGTTGACCTTCCTACAGGGAGAGGGAAGGATCAGTTCTGTGTAAAATCGCACGCGAAAGGGGGGGAGTGAAGAGGAGGCTAGCAAATGATATCTCAGCTGGATCAAAGAATTGTGCCTCCTGCTAATTAGTCCCCGTCATTAGTACAAAACTACTCCCAACTGGAATAACTGAAATAACATTACCCTAGACCTCAGTATCCAGTGGGAGACCCATTGTGGTGTGTAGTGGATGGAGTGATGGACTAGGACTCTGGAGAATAGGGTTTGAATCCTCACCTGACTGTGGGAACTCACTGGGGAAGTGGTAAAACCACTCCTGAAACTTCTGGCTTACCTTGAAAGCCCTTTTAGGATCACTATAAGTCCATTCTGAGGGTGGCACATAACTAGAGGTGTGAAATTTCCAGAAAATGCATTTTCCAAATGCTTTGGGGAAAATAGGGGGGAACTCCCCCACCCCCAATTTTTCTGTTTTTTTCCTCCAGGCTTTTCCATCTCTAGGCATAAATAAATAGATCTTGGTAGAATTTGCTCAAGAGGTTTTAAGTCCCATCTGCTTATTTATTTAAAATATTTTGCCGTGCCTTTCTCCTAAAAAAGGACCCAAGGTGGCTTACATCTGTAAAAACACAATATTAAAAGCAAAAAAAAAACCAGTGAACTATTCAAATATTGGGGGAAATGTTATACATTATATGGAAAATGTTAGGTAAAAGCATTACAAAAGCAAATTTAAAAACAAAAATACAAACCATCCCATTTGAAAGCATCTCTTAGACAGCCAGTCGCTAAGGAGATACCATATTGGTATCTCATATTTTGAAATGGGTCCTACAAACCTCTGGCTTTCTAAGTATTGTTGGAGTCTATTTCCTATCGGTCCCAACCAGTGTAGCCCATAGTAAGAAATGAACGGGAGCTGAAATTTAATATGGGGGGAGAGGTTTCCCCTTCTCATGCACTGTTGCCTGCAGTCTCCAGCTGCTATCCTCTGAATATTAACTTGCATTTCTTTGCATGGAAGCACATACCTGAGCTGCTCCTTGGTTGCTGGCAGAAGTCAGAAATTTCAAAATTATCACATGACAAGATTGGAGCAGAAGCCATTTTTCTCTCTTTAGCTCAGGCGGATGCCTCAATCAAAGGGTGAAAAGTGACACTCCCCTGGAGGCTGTCAAGGAGGGGCTTAAACACAGTGTTTTGTTTCTAGTTGAAATGTTCTTCATACAGAAAGGTCTGTTTAATCTCTGACATCTCCAGTAAAACAGAGTGGGAGACCATTAGCCCCTCCAGATATTGTTTGACTCTGATTCCCACAATATCTGTATATCCCGGAGATAATGAGGGAAGATTGGAGCATTAGAGGGCAACAAGTTCTCTCTCACAAGTTAAAAAGATGAAGGCATGGATGATGGGAAAGTCTGCAATGTGTATTAGTACAGAGAATATTAACAGTTTTTACTTTTGAACCCTGAACTGAAAGATGGATCTGGTAGTTGTGAAGGACAATGTCAGTAGTCAGTCATTTGGTAATGACTTGAGAAACCTTGACTTGTATTCAATCCATTTATATGGGTGTTCATCATGTGTATAAATTTACCCCTATTCAGTGATCTCGAAATGTGTTGTACTGCAGATACCATGTCTCTGCTATTAGTGTGGCCTTACTGGCTGGGAGTAACAAGTAGCTAGCTGGGAGAAACAAGCCGTAGTCCGGTATGTAGAGGATACCAGGTTGGGAAATGCTGGAGTAGAAAATAGCAGGGTAGAGATCAATCCCCATTTTCATTCTGTGCCAAGAATGAAAATGGATATTGATCCATCAGTATTTCACAGAAGATAGTTCAGTATTTCATGGAGGACTTGGTCAATGCATATTATTGTCCATTTAGGCTGTGTTGATGTATAGTGAAAATAAAAAACTTGCCCTCTATTAGAGGGGAGAAGTGAGATATTAATAGGAATAAGGACAAGGATTATAGTCGAATGTGCAATAAACAGTGCTGTTCTAAAGCAGAGAGTGAAGCATTTTAAATTTCTTTTTGAAAGGAATGAAATCTGTATGGGATATAATAATTGTGCGTGTAACTGGAAATAGAACCAAGGTTTTCCAAGTCTGATACCCTGACCTAAAAAAATTTTCATGTCATCTGGGCAACAATACTCGAAGCACTTAAGCACACACAGTGTCAGAGGGCAAGCAGGATTGCTCACATGTATATACTGTATACTAGATCAGAGTCAAAGGTTAATTCTTATGAAACAGTAACTATTCTCAGCTGCTAACTAAAGGTTATGTAAGATCTATATTTCTTTATAGCTGGCTTTTGTATTAGAAATAATTACCAGAGTATACCACTAGTTTTATAGCTGTGGTTTTACTCTGTGCAGTTCTGATCACACTGTCTGAAACAAATGTGGAGTTGAGTTACAGGCAAGGTTCAGAGCAGATAAAAGGAAGCACTTCCTTACACTGCACATAGTTAAGCTATGGAATTCATTACCATCAGATATTTTGAGAACTGGCAACCTGGGGGATTGTGGTCATTCATGGGGTGTGTGAATATCAGTGACTACCAGCTACCCTGTTTCCCCGAAAATAAGACCTAACCTGAAAATAAATCCTAGTATGATTTTTCAGGATGCTCGTAATATAAGCTCTACGGCTAAAATAAGCCCCAGTTAAGTGAAACCCTGTCTTCCACCATTGTGCAGCATTGTGCAGCAACGAGAAGAAGATGACATGACTGTATTTCAATATATGTAGATTGTTGTACATGAAAAAATAAAGCATCCCCTGAAAACAAGCCCTTATATGGTTTTTGGAGCAAAAATCAATATAAGACCCTGTCTTATTTTCGGGGAAACACAGTATTATAGATATACTGTATTCCACATTTTATGGCAGATGGTTTAAGTATAGGTATTCCAACTGCATTAATTTGCAGGTGGGATTATTAAATGTCTGTCTGGATTTGGACTCACAGTTCGTTTTTTCTCCCTAACCAAACCATTTATCAGCATTGAGATCTATACATTGAAGCAGACTAATTTTGTATAGTTTGGACAGACAATTCTAATAATGTTTTTAAACTATTTATTTCAGAACATAGAATATATGTTTGGTATTGTTGGTGTTCCTGTGATTGAAGTAGCGGTTGCTGCTCAAGCAAGTGGGATTAAATATATAGGAATGCGCAATGAACAAGCTGTAAGTATCTTTGGCTGAGTGGTTTATATGCAGAGCCAAAATCCTTCCTGTTCATTCTGTAACTCTGGTGTCTCACACATTCCATTTATTCACAGATGACCTGAGTCTTATAGATCAAGTGGAGTTGTACAACCTACTGTAAAACAGCACAGATATAGCAGTCTCAATTTTAACAAAGTGATAAAACAGCCATAATGTAACCAGGAAGGTAGCAACTGTTATTTTTACAGGAACATGGAAAAGTTCCTTTTTCGTGCTTCACATCCCAGAATTTGCCACTCACCATGGCTGCTGGCTAGTAGATTCTGGTAGTTGTAGTCAAAAAAGGTAACATTTCCAAAACCTATGGGTACTGTTGTCTTAATCTAAAGTATGTCATGCAGCTCACTCACTCTACAATCTTGCATTTAGTTACGTGCCAGCCAGATGTTCATTAGCATGATGAACTCTATTTGCTTCCTATGATAAAAGCCTATGGGACAGGGTTAGCGGTCTTTGCCCCCCTTCATGTTTTGTCATATGGCTTCCATCAGGCCAAATTAGGACAAAACATACTGAAGGCCAAAGGGTCCCTTCTCCAGTGGTAGGAAACAGACTTCAGCTGGGAGCTAAACCATTTCTAGGAAGGGGAAAGCAAAGATTATCCTTGTGACATGAAACGGACTAAATTCAGTTAGTGCTTTAAAGCAGTCATGTGTAGACCTATACTGTAGATACCTTTTGGAAGGGCTAACACAGTTCCATACCTTTTGAATAATTGCAGAACAGGGCAGATAGGTTTCTGGTCTTCATCCCATTATCTTTCGTTGTTGGCTATGCTGAGTACGAGTTATGGGAGTTGAACAACATCTGGAGGGTTACAACTGGCCCATCCCTACTGTAAATGGTAGGTACTAACAGCACTTCATGGAGGTCTGAGTTATCTAATTCACGCTGACAACTTCTGGAAATACGTTGTGTAAAGCAACCTATTTGCCTGAATGTGGCCCCTGATTTCATTTTTGTTGCATTAGTGCAACCGGTAACTATTTCCTGAACTTCTAGAGATCAGAGCTTAGCATTCGGTTGAGCTTTATTGTCACACTCATCCACAGTTTGACAAGAAAGTTCAAGTGGCCAGTGATGCTTGGTCATGTATAACATTTCCCCCAATATTTTTGTTAGCAAAATGTGAAAGCTACAGTATGTAGCAGAACATACAGTGGGGGTACAGATCCTTAACATTTCCCCATTTGTTAGTTTTCTGTTCTTCCCCTGGGAGAAAACAATGTCACATGTAATTTGACCCTAAATTATTTGGTGCTGTTTTTTTAAGAGAGCATGAATCTGCTCTGATACAGCTTTTCTGACCACTCTGATTTATTAACCTGTGAATGGAAGATGGCTCACCATCTTCCATTCCATGTGACATAATTTGCTAATGTCTATGCATATCACCCACAATCAAAAGTACAACTAAAAGAAAAAACACAGATGTATGATTTCTCCTTTGAAATCAAAAGCAATACTGACAAGGTTACATGTACTTGCAAAGTTTTTTGCGTTGCTTCAACATGTCACTCGGTTTGACAGTGTAGTTGCCATGGCACCCCACTTGTGAGGTACAAAAAGCCTGGCTAATGAAACACCCACTCTGGTTGTCTTGAAACATTTGTGCATTGCCGTTTTTTGCTTTGCTTTTTTGTTGGTTTGTTTTCAGGAGACGCAAAACATGGTAGATTGAATTGCCTTCCTCCCTCTCTTGAATTGTAGTCTTATTTCTTTCGTTTTCTGTTTATCAGTGACATCATGTAAAAACCGCATTTCACCCACCCACCAACTATTAATTCTAAATAGTTATCTAATTTTTTACTCCTACACCAAGTGCCATGGCAACTGCTCACATAAGGCTCTTGGACATAGGCAATTCTTTGCAATTTAACAATTCTTGCTGCTGTCCTTGTTTGTTCCAGTATGTGCTTCCACATATAAGATATTATTTATAACCTTCATTCTAGACAGCTTTTGGGAGAAAGATCTGTTCAACTGTGCAGTGGATATACTTTAAGTACTGTCAGCTCTCGTATGAATCACTGACATTTTCATAAAATGCATAGATTCTTGTTAGAGAAAAGGGGCGTCTAGCTAAGCAACCATGCCTGGCGTTGGTACATCTCAAACTCTGCTAAATTAATTCTAAAATTGACCTACAGAAGCCCTAATTTAACTAAGACACTAGGGGCTGGTGGTTAAAAGAGTAAAGCTTTTTAGGGTAGACAGAGAGCCAATGACATGTGATATCTACCCCCTTGCTTCTGCAGAGGTAGGAGAAGAGTTTGATTTTGTGTGTGTGTGTGTGAAATCAAATAGACTGCATAGAAATAATGAAGGTTTCAAAAAAACCCAATGAAATCAAGAAAATTATGGCAGTCTGTGTTCAGTGCAGTAATTCCCCATTAGTTAAGTGTTGCAGAGGCAGTGATAAATAAGTTTGACGTGTTTGGAAAGATGTACCGTAATCCAGATATAAATGAAAGAACTAACCAGGCCCATCATTGTGTTTTTAGCTTAAAGTTACAGTACTCTGACAATCAAAGCTGAGACAATGCAAGTGTGAGAAGTAACATGTTAACATGTTCTTCCCATCTGATTCAGCCTTTCTGCTTATTTTATTAACTTGTTTCTTTTCCTTGGAAATGAGTTCCATTCCAAGACCTACATGATCTTTAAATTATGCAGAATTTGAGCCATCTGTTTTTTTTAAATTAATATTTAAAATTTAATAAGATATAATATACAATACCATAAAATAGTTATAAACCATCAAACCCCACATAGTAAATACTGTATATTAAATAGTATTACTAATTAACATAACACATCTTTCCATAAATCAGCATGACTGGCTGGGGGATTGGTAAGGGAATCAGTGTGATTACAGTGCTGAATAAAAGGAAAGCCAGGCATTACAAAACAAGTTGTGAGTGGGCAGTACGTATTTCCACAAAAACTAATTTCCATATCCTAGATTCCCAAACATTCATTGAAATTTACGCAGCTGTCTTCCAACATTGAGCAATTGTTTGTCTAGTTCAAGCCATCTATAAGACAAGGCTGCAAGCAAAATGGGTAACAATTGGGAATAGGGCTTTCCCTGAATATCCCCTTGCTCCCCAACCTTGCCATGTGGAGCAGCAGTATTCCTTCAGACCTTGTGCTCAGCATGGCAAAATCAGGAATCTTGAAGGGCGATGGTGCTGGAGGCCCAGGCCATTGGGAGCTGGGTTAGTAACCTCAGTTTCAGCCCTTGTTGCCTTTAATCTCCTATAGCAGTAGTTTTCAAATTGGACTCCCCAGATGTTCTTGGACTGCAATTCCCAGAAGCTTTTAACACTTGCTGTACTGGCCAGGATTTTTGGGAGTTGCAGTCCCAAGAACATCCGGAGGCCCAGTTTGAAAACCACTGTCCTATAGTTTTGAAGCATTCTTATGAGTGTCACATTGTGTAAACTAAGATGCTGCCTGCAGGAATGCAGGTAGTGCAGTTTTATCTCAGCAGTGCTGACTAAAATATCAGGTGTCAACTTTTCACTCTTGTGTAATTTCTGTATCTTTCCTCACAGGTGCCATCTGCTGGTGTGTGAGGAAAAAATCTACAAGTAGTCTAAAGAGACTGTCCATAATAAATGTCGAACAAATGTGCTAAGATTTTCATTTTTTGCCTGCGTAATTTGATAGGTCGTGAGCTTGTGTAACTAGACTTCATGACCCTTTAAGTCTCTTTTAGCTCTACAGGCCTGTGTTCCATAACACTTGTTCATACAATGTTATTACAATCTATACAAGTGATTAGTGCAAAAGAAAGACCTGCTTTCAGAGGGCATGTTTCTGCTGTGCCCTGTGTTAGATCTTGGCAACCACCCGTGTTTTTCTCTGCCAGCATTAATTGCTTCTGTGGACCAAAGATCCCTTTTTGAAAATTAAGCTGTCACAGGTTGTAGCTGGAAATGTGCTGGTTCAGTGTCCTAGGAATCTTCATATTGTTGGACTGCATTACTTTACTTTTACTTTATTTGGACGTATACCCCGTCCCTCTAGACAAAGTCTACTCGGGGCGTCTTACACAAGTGATAAAATGCAATACAATACAATGTAATACAATAACATACATAATAATAAAATCTACTAACAGATGCATATATACATTATCAAGATGGGATGATTGAGAAACAAAGATCAATTAATTGACTGGAGGGAAGGCATGCCTAAAGAGCCAAGTTTTAAAATGGCTTTTAAAAATGCCCAGTGAGGGAGCCAGGCAGATTTCCATTGGGAGAGTATTGCACAACCGAGGGCTTGGCTTTCTGTAATACAGAATTGCCTTTCCTTGCTTAACTTGTGACTGTATTTCATATCAGCATGAGAAAATCTGCTGAGAGATGCCACCTGTGATTCTAGCTCAAGTTGGGGAGTCATGTGCTCATGTACCTTCATGTACATATATCCCAGTGATCTTCTTTTTCTAACCAGGAAGGAATAGAAAAAATTACCTTCATCTGCTCCCATAGGAATCCTGAAACAAATGTCTCTTTTCTCATTCCTTCTCATTCCTTTTCTCATTGAAAAGGTGATCTGTGTGAAACAGGCGTCTCTTTTCTCATTCCTTTCAACAACATTGAAAAGGTGATCTGTGTGAAACAGGAGGGAAACAAGTTCAGTGACAGGTGGGCATGTTCGGCAACAGTAGGCACTCTTGTAGATGCAGGTGTTGTGCACCTGTAGTTTAAAGCAGTGCTTCCCAGCCTTGGGTTCCTGGATTTTCTTAGACTTCATCTCCCAGAAATCATGGCCAACACAGCCAGTAATGATGGCTTCTGGGAGTTTTAGTCCAAGAACATCTGGGGACAAGAGTAGTTTAAAGGATGGCTAACTTTTTGTTACTGCTACAGAAATTCTGTTTAGCACTTATTTTCATGTATCTGTCATGTTTTCGATAGGCCTCATATGCTGCCTCTGCCATTGGATACTTGACAAGCAGGTAAGATGTGTGCTTCAGGCTCGATTCTTAAACAGTTGCAAAAGCCATCCAAGTTCTGCCTTTTCTAACAAGCCTGGCTTTCTAAGAATTGACTGCAGTTTTGGTTTAGAGCTTGCACTCTATATTCTCTAGTTATATGTCCACAGAGGTTTACAGCAGTCATGCTGTGAAATGTCTCATACGAGTGTGTGCTGGCAAACATGGGGGGATATGTGGTAGAGTCATGCTGGGGAGCTGTGGCATACAAATTCTCTCCTTTTGAATCCCAGGAGAGCAAGCCCATGACAGCTTTTTGAGCTGCTGCCACCACCTCAATATGCTTTTTCTTCTGGGAAGCAAGTGGGTGCTGTTGCTGCCACTTTTGTCCTTGTTGTAGGCAGCGCTGCCACTGTCTTCCTCTGGGGAAAGGAGTCTTTCTCCTCCTTCAGGTGGCACCATTTTCTTTGACTTCCTTATCCTCATTCTTCTCCAGGGAGTGAGAAGGTAAGTATGTATGTGGCAGTGCAAGGGAACAAAGATAGCATGATGCTTTGCTTCCCCTTGAGATGGCAGGAGGACTTGCACCAACCCTGAGGTATCTCCAGTGTTACAGTGGATCTAGGGATTAAATTGTGGAAGCAGTTGGGCTCTTTTTTTAAATTAACAAGGAGAATTACGTCAAGTACCACCCACCTCAAGATTCTCTGTTTTCTGTAACCATAGTTCCTTAGCTGCATAGCAACTGTGGGGAAATGGATTTTTCCTAGAAACAGTACACAGATATGAGCTGTTCTTCATGCTGTGGCTTAGCTCTTGAGAGAAATCCATTAGCCATACAGAAGACCTACTCCTGGTGATAAACGGAGCTAGAACTTTGTTGTGATGGATCAACAAAGCTGTCTGCATTTTTGGACCTGTAGGACACAACTGCCGAGATGGTTATTATGAGCAGCTATACTTTAGATAGAATGTCCCACAACATCATTGTGTAGCACCATTAGTCAAGACAAAGAGATGTTTTAAGAGTAATAAACTAAACAAAATAGCGCTGTTAGTCAAGACAAAGATGTTTTAAGAGTAATAAACTAAACAAAATTAAAGTGAATGGTCTTCATGTTGCATCCCTGCCAAAAGCAATAATCCCTAAAAGGTAAACGCATCATACAGCCTACATGACATAAGGGATTCCCCCCTGCATTCACATTCATTTTCCTTCTCACTTTGTCTAGTTTTCCCTCTGAATTTTGATATTTCTTAAATCACACTCTTCTGCTAGCACATAATCCTTGTCATACTCATACGTCTACATTCAAAGTGTATCTACACTTCATATACAGGCATTTCTAGCTTATCAGCCACATAGTCTGGTGCTTGGTATACTGTGTTTATCAGTTGGAACAAGGGGAGGTTAAATTATTGGCAGACCACATTACATTGCTAGTTGGATACAGTTGGTTTAAGCAGCCTTCGCTTGCATATATATTACACACACTTTGGTCTGGCTTCATGATTGATTGCATTAAAATGCCAGTCACGCTACCACTTCCCTTTCTTTCCCTTTGAAAACTTCCTCTGTACAGTAGGTTTTATGTCAACTGCAGTTTCCTATAACATAAAGGATGGGGAACCTGTGGTTGTATTAACTGTAGTGTTCAAGTAAAGGAAAATCTTGAAGTTTGCCTCCCTCCCAGTGCCTTCCACTTCAGTGTCATGTTATTTTCAATTGTAAACACAAGCATAAGACCTCCTTATTCACTCATCTTTATTCATGTACTGTATTCTGAAAAAAAAAATTCCTGAAGAGTTGGCTGAAGGTCCTTCAGGTAAAATAAAACATGTTGATTGCCTCTCTTTGTTGAAATTAATTCTTCATTATGAAACTATGCACAATCAGGTATATCCGTCTCCTTTTGTCATTTGATCTGAGAGCTTTATTGTCAGCCTGATAAAAAAAGTAGGGTAGTTGTAGGTTTTTTTGGGCTGTTTGGCCATGTTCTATTTATAATTTATGCAGTTACCTTTATTTGATTGCAGAGAATATATTTTTTTCACATGATACACCTTAAATCCAGGTTGTTTTTCTTATTTCTGTTGCACACATTTTAATATGCTCTTTGTTTGATTCTCTTTTGCATCCAGGCCTGGTGTATGTCTTGTCGTTTCTGGTCCAGGCCTTATCCACGCTCTAGCTGGAATGGCAAATGCAAACATGAACTGCTGGTAATGAACTTAAAAAATTTTCTGACACTTCAGACAGTGATTTAGAATTACAGCACAGGTCAGATGTCATGAAAGCAAGAACAGTGTTATTTTGAAATAATGTTTGCTCAGCCTTAGGCAGATGGGTTCTCAGACTGTTTACTTATCTGAAGAGCTCACCTACATCCTATTGGTTTGTTTGTTACATTTATATCCTGCCTTTTCTATGAGCTCAAATGGCTCTCTTTACCATGTCATTCTCATAACAACCCTGTAAGGCTAAGAGAGTATGTCTGGTCCAACTCATTACTGAATGAGTCGAATGGATCAGTGGGGGCTTTGAAACCAGGAAAGACGCATTTTGACACTAACCACTGCAGCACTACTCTGACAATTGCTCGTCTAAGTCACAGTAGATCCATTGAATGCACAGGTCTTCATAAGTCAGCATCTATGGAACCTGTCTTGATTCAGTGAATTTATTCTTCTTGAAACTGACATTTGGGTTTAACCTTCAAGTCTTATTGTGTCAAGGTCCACCACTATACTGGAAGAGAGCTTTCTGCTTAGGAAATTTATCTGAGGAACAACTGTTTTGTTTTTGATTTAATCAATAGTTTGGTTTTGAGATGGTTCTGATGGTTCCCCCTTATCATTTATTTGAATGCAGTGGCCGTTAGGAACATGATAATGTTATTGCTTGGTAACTGTCATATGATCTGCCAGGGTAAGACACATTTTGTGTATCTTATCTTAAAGCAAAAGATCTAGGAAAACCTGTGGTCTTTCAACAATAGTTGAAAGTATTTCTTTTTTAAAATAAGTATCACTTACATCTGCTCTAATTTAAAATATGTCTTGCTGTTCTTTTTTAAACAAATCCTGAATAGCAGTAATACAATGTGAATATTCTTGTGTCGGTCTTTCTATTTCTGACCCTGATTTGAACCAAGAGAAGCTTTCCAGAGATAAACCCATGAGTCCTTTAGTGGGACTGGGTCTAGATTGATTGTGGACCTGATGCACAGATCTTCTTACACAGCAGTTCTTAATGAATGTCATCTTGTCAATTCCCTCCTTAGAAAGACTGGCCTAAATTTACCCCATTACTCCACAAACAGCTGATGAGGGCTCTCAAAACTAAGCATTCCTTGAAACTGGAAGGAAGACATGTGGCTTCCTAAAAATTGTTGCTCTGTACCTCCTATGAGCCTTCACGATTTGCCCATTGGCTGGAGCTAATGGGAGTTGTTGTTAAGCAACCAGTGGGAAAGGGCACAAGTTCCCTGTCTCCATCTTAGAAATTGCTTTGACTCAGTCAGTGTTGATCACTCATATGCGTTCCTGGATTCTAGATATAGAGGGTTTACCTCATGTGGCATTTTATTATTATCATAGTTTAATTTATAATTTATTCTGTTTTTAATTCTACTTTTTCAGCACTGTGAGCTACCTTGATTCCCCTTATCAGGAGAAAAAGCAACCTATGAATAAGACAGAAAAAATTGTTTGTTTCAAAATTCGGGTAAAACTGTTCAAAGCATAATAGTTTAAGCATTAAGAAATGAAACTGATGTATTTCTCCTCTTTTCAGGCCTTTGATTGTGATTGGAGGCTCATCTGACAGAAATCAAGAAACAATGGGAGCTTTTCAAGAATTTCCACAGGTACACGGCTATGCTACTTCTTCCACCCCAGTCTAAGTGTCCAGGAAGTGCTTGAGGATGTAGGTTGCTAATAGAAATGGGAGGAAACTTCCCCATTGGAATGTTCAAGTCCTGAATTACTGATGTTAAGCTATCACCAAAAATTAGGTGTTTCAGGCACTTCCTTAAAACTCATGGTCTGAACTTAAGAAAACCGTTCCTTCCTTTTTGTTTCCACCTGTGACAATTTCCTATGCATGCTGCTGTATTCTTTCTATATGGCCTCCTCCAGTTCATGCCCAATCCACTGGCTCTTTAGGAGCTCTGTTTCCCATCAGAATTAGCCAGACCTTTTAAACTTGCAAAGGGACAGGGAAATTTTCAGCAGTGGTAGCAGAACTGAAGCCCCCAAATGGTGAGTGGGTCTCCCAGGGCAGTAGAGCGGTTGTATTCTTGGTAGTCAAAGTGCTTTCTCCTCCTCTCCCCTTGCCATGCTTAAAAACAGGTTCAGTATATGAAAATAGTAACAAACCTTTCATTACATACCCAAGTACTCTTAAACACCACATGCTGTTTCTGTGTTTTGTATCTGCCATTTCTTTGCTGAATAATCTGATATGCAACAGCATGTGCTTTATAGTGTAAAGTGCGATATAGGAGGTGGGATTATTTTATGTGTACTGTTTTTTAATTTGAAAGATTTATTTCTCCTTCCCATCATGCTGATGTAGGAGAAATCTGTATGTGAACAAAACACACAAGTACTCCTTATGTGTGTAAAACATTACTGGAATATGAAAGACACAATTGGATTCATTTGTTAAATTTTGAATTTATTTTAGGGCCGAGAGAGAAGACAGTTGTGGAGTATTTCCTGTTGCACAAAAGCAGGGCATTACCTGGACCTGTCTATTACTTGTGATATTTATTGCTGATAAAGAGAACCTCCATGTTCAAGGGCACTGCAGGAGATGGCTGCTGCTATTGTGTCATGCTTATTGGGCTATCCAAATAAATGTCATGTCCATTGTGGAAAGCAGGATGCTTGCCTTGAGAGACTTGGGACTAATCCTGTGGAGGTCATTGTTGCGTCCACCCTCGTGCCCCTTGCTTGACCCTCAAGCCTCAGATCTCACGAGGGCAAACACTCTTCTCTTTTAACTGCTGCCACCAGGTGATCACTAAACACCATTACCTCAGAAAGATTCCGGTCCACTCTTCAAGTTCTTTTAAATAAAACTTTGGTTTATTGATTACAGAGATTGATTCATAAATATCTTCAGTAGCTAATCACACCCTAGAATTTCCCAAACTACATACTCTATTGCTTTCTCTGACTTTTCTCTATTGCCTCACTGACTCTGACTTACATTTCTCTTACTCCCCCAGACTGACTCAGGCTCCGCCTCTTATAGCATCTCTTTCAGCCCCACCTCTCAGCAACATTAATATGCATGAACCATTATTACATAACAAACATAAACCATTACATAATATAACATGAACCATAGACCTAATAAATAGAGACCTCCCCCTTAAATATGTTTATTTGGGAGGGGAAATAAGTTTTTCCTCCTAAACAAACAGGCATAGTTACATAGCTACATAACATTTAACAGTTTTAGATGTAACATCATTCAACATAACAATTTCCATTACTATTACTCTAAACTTTTTAACAATTACACTTTATTAATATTCAATCATCAATAATATACTTTACCTTATCATTTACAATTTATTATTATTTTTCAGTAACAATACCAACCTTACAGAAATCACCATCAGGGAACTTATACATCAGTAATTAAACAGTGAATCAAAGTCCAGTTCAATTGGTAATAAAAGTCCTGGTATCATTCTTCACGTTTTAGTCTATCAATTCAATTTTAATCACATTTACAAATGTCCATCCCCCTTCCATCAGTCATTTGACTTCCAAGGCATGATCTGAGTCTCTTTTGCAAAGTCCATGTTTGCAAAGTCCAAGACAGGCTCACTCCCGCAGTCATCTGCAAGGCACCGCACCTTTCCAAGTCCATGGCTCGAAGCATCTGTAAAAAGGTTGAACTCACAGTGGTAACCAGGTGCGCTGAAGACTGATCCGGATCTTACCGCCTTGTTCAGATGGACACATGACTGCTGGCACTCTGGAGTCCCTCTGTTAACCACTGGCTCCTTACTCCACAACCGCTTCTGTCGACTAGCAGTCATTGGCCACTCGGTCGACCACTGGATGTCATCTGCTGGTCGTTTTATAATGAAGCCCGCTCTCTTTCTGGCTCGAGGCTTCACTATCTCATTTGGGGAAAGACTAGGCAGTTTCCTCTCCCTCCGACCATCTCTGGATGCATCCCTCTTTAATACATTGGAGCGAATGCCTTTCTCCACATTCACATATTGTCCCACAGGTACTTTCTCTAAATTGTTTTCCCTATGTGGGGGACCACTATCAAGGGTCTCCTTAAGCTTCTCAGATGAATTCCTTTTAAGTGCAATCTTAAACAGTTGTTTGGTTTTAGATGCACTGCACTTGTCATCTGATTCTGTTACGTTATTCAGGGATATGTCAGGTAGGGGTTTGCTTTGCAAAGTTTTATGATCTACTTGTTCTACCTCTGCCAAAAGCAATTTTCTCTCCTCCTGCTGCTCCTGAGCCAAACTATTTTCATTTGAGGTTTTCACTAGCATGAGTTCAGCTTGAGCACTCTTAAGCTGGGTAACCACGGAAACCTCTCTCTCCAGGCTTCTATCTGATACTGTAACAATTTCAGCTGCAGAGGGTGATTCCTGGCCTCCTGGTGAGAATGTAAGTGCAAAAGCACTCTTAACATGCTCTATTAACTGCACCCATCTCCATATATCAGGTCTTTGTCAGTTGTAGATTTCTCTGGGTGATCAGGGGTTAGTGTAGTACCATTTTTCAAAGTAATATCTTCCATCTGTTCCTCATTACAGGAAGGAACATTAAGGGTTTTCAAAATGCCCTAATCAACCATTTTGGTTACCTCATGGCCCTTTTCTAAACTGGAGCATCCCTGAATAGATTCAAAGGTTAGGGAATCAATTTTTCCCTCAGGGATTGTTAACTGCTTCTTCATGGAACCTGTTACTCTAAAGGCACTCTTCACATGTTCTATTAAGTCCCAACCAAGTAGAAGAGCTACTGGGATTTCATCTGAAATGGCTACCTGCCACTTTCCAGACCAATTCCTATAGCCTATTTGAATTTCAGTCACTTTTAACTCCAGAGTTTCCTTCCCAATCCCTTTTAAGGTTATTGTTTTGTTTGGAATTATGTCATCCTGGGTTATCAGATCAGAATGTACTATAGAAATCTGAGATCCTGTGTCCTTTATAGCAATATATTTTTTTCCTCCCACCATTATCTCTTCACCAGTGTTTCTGAGAAGGGTATTGTCATTTCTAATCTAAAAGCAATGTACTACAGTGGCTTCAGGAATGTCCTCCTCAAGATCTGTAGAAGCTGTGGTCGCCATGGAAACAGGACAATGGTCACTGCTTCTCTCAGATGATTCAACTTGTTTTAAAGAGTAAACCTTTTTAGTTTAATTATCATTCTTCCCTGTATTAGGATGAGTCTGCCCACACTGGAATTGTAAGTGACCTGGCTGGCCACAGTTAAAGCACTTATAGTTCTTTCTCTCATTCTGAGGAGATTTGTTGAACTTTGACTCATGGTTTATTTGCTTTGGAGAGCTAGGTCTTGGCAATTTAGGGGAAAGACTACTCTGGCCAGCTCTTTCTGTGGTTCTGCTGTGGCAATTTTTATTAAAAGACTTTTTATTGTTGTCCCAGTTTGGTCTGTTAATTTTTAACTCTGAGAATCGTGGGTTTCTGTACTCATTAATAAAATCTGCCTGTTCACCTGCTTCTAGTAGGTCTTTAGGGTTTTTGTCCCTAACTAAATATCTCAATTCCCCAGGTAATACATTGTTCTAACCCAATCAAATTCTTCATTTGTTCTAGAGTAGTGATAGTCTCCTTTTCCATCCACTTCTCAAGACATTGCAGCAATTTAGCTCCCAACTGTGAATATGATTCCCCCTGCTTTTTAGTAAGAGAGTGAAATTTTCGCCTCAGGTGCTCAGTGTTAATACAAAAACGTGAATAAACCATCTTTTTAAATGCCTCAAAATCTTTTGACTTCTCGAGGGTCAATTGGGAATACAACTCAGTGAGGTCTCCTCTAACTTGAGCCCTCAAAACAACCATCCTTTCCTCATCTCGAATTTCAAAGGCCCAGCAGGTGCGCTCAAAAGCAATGAGAAAAGATTCAGGACAGTCCCCTCTTTTATATTTGGGAAACTTCTTAAGATCAATTTTTGAGAGAATTCCCCCTCCAGCATTGTTGTTATTGTTAAGGTTATTGTTTGAAGCAGAAATTTCTAATTGTCTCATCTGTAATTGAAAATCCATCTCTTTTTGTCTTAGTTACATTTGTCTAGCCTCTAACTCAGCTGCCATTCGTCTGGCCTCCTGCTCAGCTGCTATCTGTCTGGACTCTTGCTCAGCTGCCATTCGTCTGGCCTCATTTTTGAGCTGTAATTCTTTTAATTTAAATTCCCGTTCCAGCTTCCATTTTTCAAACTCCTGAGGGCTTAATTCCTTTGTTTTCTCTGAGGCGCCCTCATCAAATTCCTCTTGCTCAGTTTCAGATAAAGAGTCACTGAGAGGGTTTCCCTCCATTTCTTGAGGTAAAACCTCAGCCTCAGGATTCCCCCTTTTGGAACATTTGGGTGGCATATTTACTTCTGGGATGATTAGTACTGAGTGCTTACTTATTTTTAAAGGACCTGTCTTTCTTCTCTTACTTCCAGTCACTAATATAATTCTATTTCAAGCAAAGGTTTTCTCCTCTCTTCCCTCAGATCTGCTCTGACCCCTGGCTTCTGCTTTTTCACAAGCGCTCTCTACTCTTAGACCCTTGAGCCTTAAGCTAGCTGACTAGTCCTCAGATCCAGAGTCGTTCCCTAACTTAGACCCCCCCCCCGATCTGGGTTCAGAAGCCCCCACCACTAAGCTTTTCCCAAAAGCTCTAATGAGGTTCCAAACATCTTTGCCACAGACCTCCGTCTAAAAGGTACCCTTGACTGCAGAAAAAAATATTTTTAAAATCAGGCTTGACTGGACTTCTTTGAGTTCAACTCAGGCTTCACTGGATTTCTTTGAATCCCATCACTGCACACCAATTGTTGCGTCCACCGTCGTGCCCCTTGCTTGACCGTCAAGCCTCAGATCTCACGAGGGAAGCACTCTTCTCTTTTCACTGCTGCCACCAGGTGGTCACTAAACACCATTACCTCAGAAAGATTCAGGTCCACTCTTCAAGTTCTTTTAAATAAAACTTTGGTTTATTGATTACAGAGATTG